ACACACACACACCGATTTCACCACCACCCCGTCTACACAGACGCCCAGCCTACGTCACACACACTGTACCCACCCCACTCCATCATCACTCTGTCTACACCGACATCCGGTCTGCCGTATACGCATACCTCAACTCCACCACCAGCACTCTGTCTACACAGGCACCCAGCCCACCTCACAGACAACACACATGCCCCGTAGGCACCACGGCCCCTGTCTACACCATCACCTTTCTGCCACGCAGATACCCACTGCATCTCAGACACGCGGAGAACCTGCCTCGTCTACGTAGATGCCAATCACGTGTCCCCCACACGTGCACAAACGTGACCGCCGGGTCTGTACTATCCTCGTGTGCACGGGTGCCCTCACCCCTTCGGCCGTCACCACCCCGTCCGCACCACCGCCGTCCTGCATACGGGCACTCGTACCCTGGGCCCTGGCCCTCTGGGCCGCAAGCGTGACCGAGAACGGCAGGTTCTCTGACCACACAGGGCGGAGACTAGGAGCTCAGAGACCTCACAACGCATGGCCGCCGCCTCGGCCAGATGCACGTGGGTTCGACTGCTGCCGAGGTGGGACACGTGTGGTGAGGGGGCCTCTCACACAGCGCGTCCCCTGTGACCCACCTTCCAGGAAAAACCACGCTGATCAAGGCCCTGACGGGTGACGACGCCGTCCGGCCCCAGGATCGGCTGTTTGCGACACTGGACGTCACGGCCCACGCGGGGTGGCTGCCCTCCCGCGTGGCCGTCATCTACATGGACACCGTCGGCTTCCTCTCCCAGCTGCCCCACAGCCTGATCGAGTCCTTCTCCGCCACCCTGGAAGACGTGGCTCATTCAGTGAGTGTGGGATGATCCCAGGGGCCAAATTACCTAAAACAGCTGTGTAACCTGGGGCCCGGTCCCCTCACATGACACAGCGTTGGGGACCGGGTCCCCTCACACGTGACACAACATAGGGATCTGGTACCTTCACACACGACATAACCCTGGGTAGCAGGTCCCCTCATACATGACACAACTTGGGGGCAGGATTCCCTCTTGCACAATACAAAGTGGGGGCGAAATCCATCAAATGTGACACAGCTTGGGGGCCAGATCCACTCACGTGTGACACCACCTTGGGACTGGGTCCCCTCACACACGACACAGCCTTGGGGACTGGGTCCCCTCACACGACACAGCCTTGGGGACCGGGTCCCCTCACACGACACAGCGTGGGGCCCGGGTCGCCTCACACACGACACAACCAGGGGGCCGGGTCCCCTCACACACGACACAGCATGGGGGCCGGGTCCCCTCACACACGACACAGTGTGGGGGCCGGGTCCCCTCACACACGACACAACCCGGGGGCCAGGTCCCCTCACACACGACACAGCGTGGGGGCCGGGTCGCCTCACACACGACACAGCGTGGGGGCCGGGTCCCCTCACACACGACACAGCCTTGGGGACCGGGTCCCCTCACACACAACACAGCATGGGGGCCGGGTTCCCTCACACACGACACAGCGTGGGGGCCGGGTCCCCTTACAACACAACCCGGGGACCGGGTCCCCTCACACGACACAACCTGGGGGCCAGGTCTCCGGACACACACCCCCTCAGGAAGGTGGCGCCTAAGCCACCCTGAGACTGAGCCCTGTTGGGTGACCCCTTTAAAGACAAATTCACAGAAGGAGGTGGAACCGCTGTCCAGGGCGACCAGGCGCCTGTCCCTCAGGTCACCTGTGTGCACAGCTGTGGCCGCGGGGATTCAGGGCACGCTCTCTGTGGTCTTGCCCCCAAACCCCGAACCGTGGTGTAAACAGGAGAATGAACCAGGCCGACCTCAGCTACAGGGCGTCCCACAAAATGCCCGTGTGGTGTTCAACGTGGTCGGGGCTCAGAGGGGCCAAGGACAGGTGACCAGCAATGTGACAAGTGTCCTGGGTGGTGTCCAGGACGGAAGAGGAGAGGCCACTGACTCGGGACAGAGACTGGAGGGTCGTCACAAGTGCGCCCCGGGGTCACCCCCGCCTTGTGGCACACGCCATGACTAACGTTGGCTGCGGCAGCAAGGTGAGGGCCACGTGCCCCCTCTGCCATATTTCCAGAAAATCTGGAACGTTTCTGAAGTAAAACTTTTTTTTTTTTAATTTTAAGCGCATCTAAAACCCGGAAGTGAACATTCTGGAATGTGGGCGGTGCCTGTTCCCAGGGGCAGAATTACAGGCAGCTCTTTCTTCTTGCTGCATTTTCCAAATTCTT